CTTCACTGGAGAACTGCGCTAAAACAGCTGATCACAACGTTCACGCTCTGTGGTCACAAAGTACTCCACTAGCTCCACTAGCACTCCCCCCCCCACCGTTGACGTTCGCGATACAGAGGGCTTCATCAAATAACTTTGAGTGGAGCCAGAAGTTGGAGTACCAAACACTGACTCCAGGTACTCATCTGAGTACCTCACTGAGAAAGTTATGGGCACCCCTGGTTATATCACACACAGGCTCCGACCCTCTACTGGACTCTATGGGTACTACTCTCAACCATGCTATGCGAGCATTCATACACTGAGTTTGTATAAACGTAGCCGGCCAATCAGGGCGAGCCTACCTGAATGGGCGCGCAGGCACACAGTATATAAGGCGGCCACGCCTCCTGATCCTGTCATCCTTTTCTCTTCAGTGGAAGATTCAGTTCCGAATTGATTTTATACTCCTTTTATTTGTTTTTAAAGCCCTAAATGGGCTGGCTCCGGCTTATTTAGCAGAACTCATCCATCGCTACACCGACTGCAAATAAACACGGGTGTGTGGGGCGTCTCGCTGATTGCTCTTCCGCAAGATGCCCCCACCTCACCGGATCAGAGTGATTATTTGGCCGCAGCCTTGGCCAAATTAATAGCCTGGTCTGCGGTGTGGCCGCCGCTGCTTGCCGTGGGGGGATCACGCCGCATGGCACTTTCTAAAAAAGACCGTGATGATCTCCTGGGAGCCCCCGTGTCTACGGAAGTCTCTTTGGATCGATTTCATTGGTCACGTGGTCGTGGATGAGGAGTAGTCGCCGCTTGCCGTATGCTGCTTCTTGCTCATCCTCAGAGGACAGAACACTGTCCCACACTGGCCGCCCCGCTGTAACTCCAGTAAAGGAAGCAGCAGGTGGGTGCGCACACGTGAGTGGAATAAACCGCAGAAAGTGCTGTCAAAGCACTATGCCGGTTCAAAGACACTATTGCCAGCGTGCTGTTGTCAGAAAACACACCTTGCCTGGTATAATAGCTCCGATTTAATGTATTTCACCATTGAATGTGAAACACAGCGTTAATACGAAGGCGCGCGGCCCCGTGAGAGTGGCGCGCGCATTCAGGTAGGCTCGCCCTGATTGGCCGGCTACATTTATACGAACTCAGTGTATGAATGCTCGCATAGCATGGTTGAGAGTAGTACCCATAGAGTCCAGTAGAGCAGGGGTTCCCAACCCCCGGTCCGCGGACCGGTACCGGGCCGTGGAGGTGTTACTGCCGGGCCGCGAAATAGCTGTGAGTTTATCGTAATATTTGCAGAATTATAAATATATAAAAATATTTTATCATAATATTTTTTTCAAAAAGTGTTTAATGTTCGCACCTATACCAGTCATATTATTTCTTCCAGTAGCCTAGTTAATCTTTCACCAGATAACCGTTGAAAATGGCTTTTATGATGTTCCGAGGGATTCGGCGGCTCAAGGTCTCAGCCTCTTGTGCGCACGAGAAAGTTACCGGTGCGCCAAGTAGGAAGAGGAGCGCACAGGAGACAACCGTTTAATTGCAGACTGTTATGTTTATGTGGGGAAATGGCAGTGCATACATTATTTGAGATATATTTCAAACTCGGACTTCATTTTAAGGACATGTCGGCCAGGGGTGTAGAGCTATATGTTTATTTTATTAGCTTTTCTTTTTAATGACTGATTTTAAATGCTATTTTCTTAATGTCTTTCATTTTTTTGTAAAGCACTTTGAATTGCCTTGTGTTGAAAAGTGCTATATAAATAAACTTGCCTTGCCTTTGTTTAAGCACCGGATTGGCAAAACAGGAGAGTAAACCAGTCTGCCTTGATCTATGAATTCATGTCCGGGACTCTCACGGTATCTGCTGCCCGCAGCTGTTTTATAGAAGGAAAACCTCCTTCACTTCATGAAATGGCTGCAGGAAGCATCAGGAGGCAGCGGGACGTGTAACTCCGCTTCTGAGAAGTGCAGCACCAGCGCGCCGAGAGCTGTGCCTTTTTACGCACCGCCTTCGCTGTGTTTACCTTCATCAGAACAGCGAGTGACTGCAGGCTGCTACGTGTTAACCACACACAGCTCTACACACATCTCTACACCCATCGAACTGCCCGATTACTCCCCCTTTTATTAATTTTATGAAGGAGATGTCCAGTCACCAAGGCGCATGATGTGTGTGTGTGTGTGTGTGTGTGTGTGTGTGTGTGTGTGTGTGTGTGTGTGTGTGTGTGTGTGTGTGTGTGTGTGTGTGTGTGTGTGTGTGTTGTGTGTGTGGTGTGTGTGTGTGTGTGTGTGTGTGTGTGTGTGTGTGTGTGTGTGTGTGTGTGTGTGTGTGGTGTGTGTGTGTGTGTGTGTGTGTGTGTGTGTGTGTGTGTGTGTGTGTGTGTGTGTGTGTGTGTGTGTGTGTGTGTGTGTGTGTGTGTGTGTGTGTGTGTGTGTGTGCGCGCGCGTGCGTGCGCGCGCTCCTTCATAATGCGCCTTCACCTCGTTTTCCCATCACTGGATTATCCGTAAATCATACAAACAAAACCAAAACGTTGATTTATCTGTTTTTCCGAAAAACCAAAAAACGACACCGGTTCTTTTTTAAACGTTGTTAATATGTTTTGGATGCATATTGTTCTATTATTTGTTCAGGCTGTTACATACAATTAGCCTCTGTTGCTACCTGCTGGTGAGTAAATATTAAAATCAGTTAAAATTGACAACCGGTCCGCGATTTTTTTTTAATGTATCTGCCGGTCCTTGGCACAATAAAGGTTGGGAAGTAGAGGGCTCCGCCTGTGCTTATATAACTAGGGTTACAATACGTAACCCCCCGTTTTTTCCCCTTCGAGCTTTGACTTGGGCATACAAAGTTAAAACTGTACACCAAAGTGTTAATCTAAGCAACAGTATTTCCCTTTATCTTGATGCTTCACTTTAACTGCATAAATGATTGTGTCAATGTCCAGGAAAAAGATTTGCATGCACTGCAACAGGATATCTGGACCTAATGTTATCAGATAAACAAGCTAAGCAACGTTAGCATTTAGCTTGTAGCCCCTACATCTGCCAGTAAAACATGTATTTTAAACATGAAACTGCTTTATTGAGTGTTTCTACCAGCCTTTTTCAGGTTTGTTTTGAAGAGAAGACTTTGAGGATAATTCTTTCTAGTAAAATCCTCTTTCATGATACACTCTGAAGGAATAATTACCATATGAAGGCAACTAAAATGACAAATTCCCACAATCATGTCACTATGTCAGTAAACTCGGTAAAGCTAGCCAAGTTATATTACTTCAGATTAAGCTGACCCTTTTATCCAAAGACTTGCAATAATTGCATTCAACCAAAAAGACTCAAATGCTTAAAAAAGCATCCTGCAAGTGCATTAGCTTTAAATTAGCCAAACCATTGTAATTGCTCAGTACAGAATTATCACTTTTTAGGCCAAGGTGCAGTTAAAATAGCAAGGTTTTCAGTCTGTGACGGAAAATGTTAAGACTTTCTGCGGTCCTAATATTAATGGGGAGCTTGTTCCACTGTTTTGGAGACAGTAAAGCAAACAGGTGTGTTTCTGTTAAAGGGCACCTTGGTCCTACTCGAGCACATGCTGGAGTGTAGGGTTTAACCATTTCCTGGATCAGGAAGGGCCTTATCCATTCATAGCATGGTAGGCCAGTAGGGGACACAGCTGGGACCGGAGCGCTTGTTGACGTCCAGTGGAAATGTACTTCTAATGTTTCTAAAGTTTTATTGGCTCATTTTAACAATGTTATCACTTACTTCTGATATTATTGCAGGTCTGCTGTAAGCTAGCTACATGTAGCTAACCATGTCATTTCAAAGATACTGACAAAACACAGCCTGACTGCAAACAGGGACAGTTGGCCAACTTTAGAATCCTGAACGACAACAAGCGCTCCTGTCCCCGTTTCCGGTGTGATTTGAGCCTCTTACAGCGTTTTTAATTTGCAGCGTTTTTAATATGTGTTTGTAGCGTTATGTTTATGCAGTGCTTTTAGTAAACCATGTGCATGGTTCATCAAATATGTAAATGTTTTCCTATTGCTGTTCATGTGTTGTCAAGTTGGTGAAGATGTTTCTTCATTTGCATGTGTTTTGGAACATTTGTGTTTTAATATTTGCTTTGCTTCTGAAGCTGCAGCACTTTTCTCCGAATGGAAACATTTTGAAACGTTGTAGCACGTTTGCACCTGTCGGCCACCGTAGCATGGCTGATTATACATATAACGCTATGCAAGCGATCATTATCCTACTGGTTAAATTCATATCACACAGAATACAGTGAAGTTTGTACTCATGTTAAAAGAAAAGATAACCAGTAGGTAGTGCAGTGTTTTCCCTCTAACAGAGCTGTGTTTGGTGCTCTGGTAGTCTTGGAGCAGCTGCAGGGCAGAGTTTGGGAGATAAGCCCACACTTGCCCGCCTGAGGCCTGCAGTCTTTAACCTCCTCACCTTGACAGGAAGAAGAGCTTTTTGTTGTGTGTAGTTGATCCTGCACCGCTCTTTGAAATGTCGCCACACTGAGACACAAAATGTAAACAAGAGATAGTTTTGCTCCCTCCCTGTCGACAGCGACTCCCAGATTAATGAACAGCAGGTTTAAGATTCCCACTGTTACACATGTTCAGCATGTCTCCAATAGTTTAATGGTGCTTTTTATCTGTAGAGATCTCAGTGTCATTCTTTCCTGAACCTCCCAGCATGTTTTCCATGTATAGACATATTTTCCATGTTTAATCTCACAAGAACAAATTCACAAGAAAACACGCTACGGACGAACACATAAGGCCACGTTGCTTTTTTAGGAGTATTTCTAAGGCATTCCTGCAGCACTGTAAAAAAACACAAGTCCAAAAAATAATTGGAGGAACATGGAGGTCACAGCTATAATTTGAACTCAGCAGGAACTTGATTGAACTTTAGCCTACTGAGTGTGCAAGCTAGCCCACACTAACAACCCCCCCTTCTCCTTTCTGTTTTCATTGCAGTAAATGTGGAACCCTGCCACCTGAAAGCTGCTTTTTCAGCCTCATATGCAGCACTGGATCCTTTATGGGTAAGTATCAACACACGTTTGTGCTCAGAGAAATGTAGTTTATTTTTTTGCCTCAACACACACGTTTACCCAACTTGCACTCTCGGTTAAACGGGGCTCTGTGCGCTCGGGCTTGTTTTCTCAGCTGCGACGGCTCCAGCTAAGTCTCTGTTCCCCACAATCCACTGCCAGGTCCCGCCTCACCCCCCCCCCCATGATTTTTATGAGCTACAAGCATTCACCCACTGACTATGAGGGCAACTGCTCTGCTTTGTTCCAAAACTACTTTAAAGCATTTATTTGGGTCATTTACATTCAGGGTGGTGCATGCAGTTTCTTTTTTGATATGCTTTCCTACATTTTCTGACAATATACCCTCTGTGAACTTTGTTCCACTGAGATTTTATAACATTGAGGTTGACAACATGGAATTTTACATTACACAGAGCAAGAATGTTGTTTTCAATGGAGCGAGGGGCTTCTCTCGGCCATGACTCGGATTTTCTGCCAAGTTTTGTATAGCCACAGATCAGACAGAACCTGAAAACATTCATAGTGTTTCACTCAGTTGTTTAGGAAATAGTTTTAAAAAAGATGGCTGAGAGAAGTTCAAACCCTGTCTGAGATATACGACCAATAGAAAAACACTTCTGAAGAAGCATATTGGAGTTTGAAACTCCAAATGCACTTCTGCACCTTTAAACAAAGCTTCCAATTCTGGCATTTGTCGTAAGCAGAAGTTACAACATTTTGTACAGTGTATGCCATTCTGCTATCTGAAACAACTGGGAGCCGAAATAAAAGAGAACATATATTAGTGGGTGTTTATACCTAGTTACAAAGTGAATAACTTATTTTGGTTATTTGGTGTTGTCTGTACAGTAGAATCCCTGTAAACATGCTCATGGCATGATGATGCACACATTCTTTAAACTATGCTCTTCTGTCACCTGAATAGGACTGTCAGCTCTAATAAAACGGTGACGGCCCATCCACACTACAGCTTCAAAAAAAGCTTGGAGCTGGGCTTGTCTGAAACTCGACCAACAACCAATCACATGAATCTCCCGCCCCTGACACACAAGCAGCGGTTTGATTGGCTAGAGCTTGTACTGGCATATGATTTGATTGGTTGACGCTTCCACCGAAAGCTTCAGAAGCTTCAAAAGTTGAACATTGCTCAACTTTTGCAGCCTGAAACGCCAGGAAAGCTCCGCTCTGCTTCCCACAATGCAGTTCGGCGAAAAGTGACGTCACCCCATTCAAAGTGAATGGGCAGACGCGTTGGAAACCGTTTTTGAAGCTGTCGAAGCTGTAGTGTGCACGGGCCGTGACTGTTGTTGTTATACTTAATGCTGATAACAAAGCCTAATACAAATGGTGCCGCAGTAGTATATACAAACATTTCTCAACCAAGGTTTGATAGCACAAACTTTCACAAGCCTGTACTCACAGTATTAGGGTGACACACTCGGTCCATATAATACATTTGATTGTCTTGATTTTGTTACATAAAAAATACAGTTTAATACTTGTAAGTCTTGAGCCTGATCTCTGCTCACACAATTTGTTGAGGAGCCATTATGGGGTGTTTGCACTCAGTTTAATATACCTAGACCCTTAAATTACTTTTAAGGTCTTGTATTTGAACCTTGACATGTAGTTAAATGTATCAGATAATGGACAGGCATTGCTTTTCCTAGAAAAGGAAGACGTTTAAGTGATCATTAGATAACACGTTTTTGTCTTACTCAGTGTTTGTTTTAAAAGTGCTGGCCTTGCTTTTTGATTTTGTATTACAGAGGAACTGTTTGGTGGATGAATGTTGTGTGGGGTGCTGCTGATCACGTAGGCTTGTTACAGCACAATACACCGCTCTGTAAACTTCCATCAATACAACACAAGGGAAACACCGCATAATAAACCTGAGAAAAAAAATTACAATTTACAAAAAAGTTATGAGCTTTGTCTTAAATATATCAGTAAAAGCTGTGTGCTTGTCTTTAGCCATATTAGAAGCATGAGTGAAAACAGGAAAACTATTGGATAGATTACTTTAAAATTAGATAATCATGATCCCCAGAGGATGAACCCCATTAACTTTGGTGGGTGTTTCTCTTAAGACTGTTAACTTAGCATGTTAACTTAACACTCTAAACTAAAATGGTGAACATGGTAAACATTCAACCCAGTCTCACGGCATTTCGTGTTCACCAACACGATTTTTAATCTATTGATTCGTGTTCACCAACACGATTTGCCCCTTTTTTTCGTGTTGCACAGCACGATTTTAAAAGCAATGTATTTCTACTGCCTGCAGCACGTCTTTTTCTCCGGTCGGGTCGAGGAAGACCGGAAGCTGTGTGGTTCATAAAAACATGTTCTTACTCAATATCAAGCCACAGTTATTGCTTTTATTTGAAATCGTATAATTTCGGACTTTTGTTGCCGTCTGTGAGGAAAATAAATGGGGCTCAGAGCCTCAGAATACGGAAATCTGTATTTTTAAATCTTTTTTTCCTTCTAATTTGATATTCTTTTCAAAATAACACACTGTTATTTACTCACCAATAACACACAATTATCCTTGCTTTTATTTATTGGTTTAATTCCATAATTTCGGACTTTTGTTGCCGTCTGTGAGGAAAATAAATGGGGCTCAGAGCCTCAGAATACGGAAATCTGTATTTTAAAATCTTTTTTTCCTTCTAATTCGATATTCTTTTCAAAATAACACACTGTTATTTACTCACCAATAACACACAATTATCCTTGCTTTTATTTATTGGTTTAATTCCATAATCTCGGGCTTTTTTGGCGTCCGTCAGGAACTGAATTTCAAAATAAAAATAACCGGAAACAGACGTAGGCCTATAAGGGACATTTCGAGCATCATTGCGATTGTCAACATTTCTGAGTTTAGGATGGCCGAAGACACTACACTACCCATAATCCCCAGCTATCGTTTAGGACTACAGTCCCTGTAAGGTTACGCAGAGCGTCAAACAGCTGTGTGAAATGGAACGAAACCACGCCAGACTATCCAAAACTGGAATCGAACGCCCCCCAGAACTACACATGCTGGCTATTGTGTTTCGCAAAATGTTCTATGGGACGTCTCTACTGAACGTTTTCGTTTTTCCCACAATTAGAAGTTGCCAGTATTAAACACATTCGTGTTATCAAATGTAAAACATATTATTAATAAATGGGTGAAAATCGCTTGTGTCCATAATGCGCAGCATTAATACCCACATGACAGCTCATTGTTACTTTGTAATTCTACTCCACTACAATTCAGAGGTTAACCTGGTATTTTTACTCCACTGCATTTATTTGAGTTACTTTGCAGATTCTGATTAATTATGTGAAATATAAACAACCCTTAAATCAGACTTTAGTTACACCTGAGTAAAATTCAGGTAAGGTGATTGTCAAGTGCCAACAATCAGGAGAGATATTTGATAGTTGGTGCTTGAGAAGACTAAACATGTATCTGCAATTGACATGAATGGAAACGAGTAATAAAGTATATTCATTACTCGTTATTCTCTACTAATAGTTAATTAAAGACTGTATATTATGGCTATTTTGCACATCCCTTTCAAGATTTTCAAAGGTGTATTGACATATCATATACACAACTAGGGTGTAGTTATGCAATGAATGAAATACTTGGGTCACAGGTTCCTCAATCAATCAATCAATCAATGTTTATTTATATAGCCCAATATCACAAATGTTACATTTGTCTCAGTGGACTTTACAGTTTGTACAAAATATCAGTATGACAATACGACACCCTCTGTCCTTAGACCCTCACATCGTACAAGGAAAAACTTCCGGAGAAAACCCAGTTTAAAGGGAAAAATGGGAGAAACCTCAGGGAGAGCAACAGAGGAGGGATCCCTCTCCCAGGACGGACAGACGTGCAATAGATGCCGTGTGTAAATTGAAAAGATAATACATTTGCAACATAGGTAGTCCAAATGTTTGGAAATGCATGTGTGTATAATAGGAAGATGAATCCACGAGGATATCCATCCAGGACCTATGATCCAGGACCACAGCCACGACTCAAGATCCAGGGCTCGCGATCCAGGACAGAGGAGCGCAGGATCATCCATGACTCCGGATCCCGGCGTATATAGACACCAAAAAGAAAGACATTTGGGGAAGCTGGGTTAATCGGAACATGAGAGTACACAGGTATAGACAGAGAGAAGGAAGAAGTAAGATGTCCCCCGACAAACTAAGCCTATATCAGCGAAACTAGGGGCTGAATCTAATCAGCCCTAACTATAAGCTTTATCAAAAAGGAAGGTCTTAAGCGCACTCTTAAAAACGGATAGGGGTGTCTGCCGCCCGAACACAAACTGGAAGCTGATTCCACAAATGTGGAGCTTGATAAGAAAAGGCTCTGGCTCCCATTGTACTTTTAGAGACTCTAGGAACAACCAACAACCCTGCATTCTTGGAACGCAATGCCCTAGTAGGACAGTAGGGTATAATGAGTTCTTTAAGGTAAGATGGCGCCTGCCCATTAAGGGCTTTGTAGGCGAGAAGAAGAATTTTAAATTCTATCCTGTGTTCTATAGGGAGCCAGTGTAAGGCAGCCAGAACAGGAGTAATGTGGTCCCTTTTCCTAACTCTGGTTAGTACACGAGCCGCAGCATTTTGAATCAGCTGAAGCGACTTGACTGACTTCTTGGTACACCCTGATAATAAAGAGTTACAATAATCCAGCCTTGAAGTAACAAATGCATGGACTAGTTTCTCTGCATCGTTTTGAGGCAAGATATGCCTGATTTTTGCAATGTTACGTAGATGGAAGTAGGCGGTCCTTGAAATTGATTTTATGTGGGCGTTAAAGGATAAATCCTGATCAAATATAACACCAAGATTCCTTACAGTCTCACTGGAGGCCAAATTAATGCCATCCATAGTTAGTATATCCTTAGATAATTTGTTTCGTAGATTCTTCGGGCCAAGTACAATAACTTCAGTTTTGGTCGTGTTTA